GAAAGAGTGGGAATCTGGCTAGCTGGTGTTAGGAAGTCTTGCATAGAGACTTGACTTTCCACGCTCTTGATCTAACAGTTAAAGCTTCCATTTGGTTCTTCAAGTTCCTGAACGCATCATGTTACCAAAGCAGGTGTCCTGCTTAGGTTGCCACCTTAATGGCAAAACCCACGGGGATGCCGGTAACCTTCTAAAGTACAAGGGGGTTTTCCAAGGTCTTGAACTGATGTTTCTGTTGCAGGAAGCCCGTTGAGGAAAGTTCTCCATGAATGTACGTCACAATGATGATGACCGACCAAATTCCGCTGGAGCTGCCACCGTTGCTGAACGGGGAGGTCGCCATGATGCCCCACATCGTGAACGGCGACGGATCCCAGCAGGTCAGTGAGCTCTGCAGGAAGCAGCTGGTTTAAATACAACATTTCTCAGCCACCAAGGGATTTCTGAAGGTGGAGAACATAGTTTTCCCCAGCACTAGGGAGGGGAGAGCATTTCCTGGAAGGTAGAAATCCACCTTTATGCTGCAAAGACAGTAAGAAAATGCTTTAAGTGTGCAATTAAATTGAATGTGACGATTTAAGTGTGTGTCCATTGGAGTTAAAATAATGGAATGCAAGTAATGGCTATAAATGCTACATATCTGAGGTCTTTGCAGAAAGTTAGTCTTATGATTCACTTGTGCTAGCTGTTGCCTTGCCTAGTATCTTGTGAGGAGATTTTAAGAACTAAACCCAAAATTGCTGAGATTATAGAAAAGGGAAAGAAGGAAAGAAATGAAGAATTGAAGGCAAGAGTCTTCTGGTGTCATCTGTTCTTTGCTTACCTATGTGTTCTGATCCTGGCAGTCCTGTGCATTACCTTGTGCTTCACTGTAAGCCTTAAAGGGGCAGAAGTGAATTTTGAGTGGGCTTTTGAAGGAAAGCAAGTTCATAGTAACTTTCATGTTCTTCTAGCAGATACTCTCTGATAAGCTTGATCAGAGGTAGGTAGAATGATTACAAGACCATAGTGATGCCTTCATGTCAGGATACAATCTGTAGGTTCAAGTTGTGGTGGTTGGAAGATTCCCTAACCTGTCATACTGGGTAAATGTTTATCTTTGTAAAACATCTAACCTAGCAGTTTTTCTGTGTTTTTCCATTTGCTTCCCTCTTGATTTATTTCAGCAAAGTATTTTAACCAAAGTAGAAATAATCTGTTGTTCATGAATCAATATAAAATGTCATTCTCTTATATCTAATTTCTTTCATCATTTGTTCTTCCTTCCAAGCTGTGTTTTGAGCTACACCAACCTGGAGGGGAAGAATAATTTCTACTTTTCTTGTAAGCTTCTAAGTTTGTCTGCTTATCTGGCTTCTCAGAGCGACACAGAGTTTCATTGCTGTGATTATTATTATTATTTTAAAGGCATTTCTGTGCAGTGTGCTTCAACTTGAAAAAATAGAAAGGAAAGCTTTCAATGGCTCTGTTTGCCAATAGTAATATACTTAAATGCATACCTGCATTGGTGAGGCCACATCTGGAGTATTGTGTCCAGTTCTGGGCCCCTCAGTTCAAGAAGGACAGGGAACTGCTCGAAAGAGTCCAGTGCAGAGCTACGAAGATGATTAAGGGAGTGGAACATCTCCCTTATGAGGAAAGGCTGAGGGAGCTGGGTCTCTTTAGCTTGAAGAAAAGGAGACTGAGGGGTGACCTCATCAATGTTTACAAATATGTAAGGGGTGAGTGTCAGGGGGACGGAGTTAGGCTTTTCTCGGTGATGACCAGTGATAGGACAAGGGGTAATGGGTGTAAATTGGAGCATAGGAAGTTCAAGGTGAATATCCGAAAAAATTTTTTTACTGTGAGAGTGACAGAGCACTGGAACAGACTGCCCAGGGAGGTTGTAGAGTCTCCTTCACTGGAGACATTCAAAACCCACCTGGATGAGTTCCTGTGTGATGTACTCTAGGTGACCCTGCTCTGGCAGGGGGGTTGGACTAGATGATCTCTCGAGGTCCCTTCCAGCCCCTAAGATTCTATGATTCTATGATTCTATGATTCTATGATTCTATGATTCTATGATTCTATGATTCTATGATTCTATGATTCTATGATTCTATGATTCTATGATTCTATGATTCTATGATTCTATGATTCTATGATTCTATGATTCTATGATTCTATGATTCTATGATTCTATGATTCTATGATTCTATGATTCTATGATTCTATGATTCTATGATTCTATGATTCTATGATTCTATGATTCTATGATTCTATGATTCTATGATTCTATGATTCTATGATTAAGTGAAGAAGCAATCTGAATGATCTTGGGTAGGATAATTGTTTCTTAAATCTGACTTCTCTTTGATGGAAACCATTTGTCAGGTTAGGCTGTCGAGTGCATCCTTCTGTATCACAGAAAGAATAAAGGAAGTCTTCTGAACCTTCCTTTGAGATGGGGCTGTAAGTCAAATATTTGGATTTTTCCCCACCAGTGATAATTCAGCAGCCTTGCTTGGCAGATTGCCTCCATTGCCTTCAAACTAATTTCTCATCTAGTGTGTTGGGGTAAAATGAATTGCTCACACACTGGAAGTGTGTTACTTCTTGCTTTTGCTGTGCTTTGCAAATATGACTCAGCAGAACCCTTCTGGGCTAGGTTCCTTTTCTGCAGAAATGTTTGTTGGATGTTGCATGGAAGCCTTAAATGAGAATTACTCATGACCTTATCTCTTCAAGTGCTTGCAGTTGGAATGCCAGTTTTCTGTGAGACTTGGCCTCTGGTCTCCATGTTCACTCACATGTTGCAAAGCTTAGCTGCTTGATCATTTTCATCCTATTCCTGAACCTTTAGTTGATGGCTTCATTTTAAAAAGTACAGTTTGAAAATGAAATGGAATGGAAATAAGTGCTTTTTTTGGTGTTTGCATGTAAAACCAGCAAATGGACTATGTTAATTGTTCTTAACAGGATTTGTTTTGTAATGTAGAAGCAAATATAACATGTTTGTTGAAAGAGATTTATCTTAGTTACTCATAAGGCAGGAACAACCTTCAGATTAGGTTCACATAAGAATGACTTAAGAGAGATGGTTTATGTTACTAGATAAATAGGTGCTACTTTTATAAGGACATGTGCTTTTCCAGGGTGTAATTGCAGTCTCCATTAGAAGCTGCTGGTTAGAAAGCCTCGTGGCTGAGCTGGTAGGAGATGAGTCGTGTGGTGTTTTCCAGGCTGCCCTGAGGCCAGCACACAGATCAGTGTCTCGTGCTTTGGAGCTGACAACACTTGCTTCTGCTGAGAAGCTCTGGGTGCACTTGCTGTTGCTCAACCTTATGTGTTCCCAGATATGGGAAGCTCAGCCACGGCAGAGCCCTGTTAAGAGCTTCAGCTGGAAATGCTGAGCTTCAGCAAAAAGGCTTTTCTGGGAAGATCAGTTCCTGTAGATGTGGAATAGAGCAGACTGGGGCTGGTCAAACACCTCAGCTTTACCAGCAGCCAGATGGAGAGCGATGCAAAAGGCAATTCTGCCAGTAAACAGTCCTGAACTGTAGGACAATTGCATGGGAACCTTAATTGTCTTATCTTCCTGGGGATAAGTGCTGTGGAGCTGTACAGGGCAGAGCTAGGGATGACTCTGCCTGCTTGACAGTAATCCCCTCTTCTCTAGACTACTCCAAATGGCATTTCTAGCACTGCCTTCTTTTTTTTAGTTTCCTACACTTAATTTCCACTGCTGCTCACTGCTTTTATGTGTCTCCCAGAGCTGCCGCTTACTCTGTTTCTGCTTCTAATCCACTTGTAACTCCGGTGGGGATTCAGGGAGTGATAATTAACCTTTTGGTCCAAGAATTTAAATGGTTTCCTGCAGGTACTGCACTGCAAGCTCTCAAAAGCTTAGAGTATGAAGAGGAGGGGCAGCTGGCTGTGCCATAGCACGTCTGTACAAATGTTGGGTGATTTAGTTTGGGAAGTTTTAGTTTGGTTTGGTTCACTTACTGTACCTGTAATCATGTTGGAAGTTTCTGCTCGCCTGCTGTTTGTCAAGGTGTGTTTACCAAACCCTGTTTTATCACTGATATCTGGTACTCTGCTAGCTGGTTGTTGTCTTTTAGGGTCGCACACTTTGAGTAAGGGAGATGAGAGTATGTCTGAATGAGGATCAAGGCTTGGTACCTTCCTGTAGCACAAGTCTGTGCACCTTTCAAGTGCTTGAAAACTGCACCTGAATAGCAGCTGAGCTGAGTGAATTAACTTTGTTTCAAAATTTAGAGTTATGTCTTCATACTTCCTTGAATTTTTTTAACAAAATACTTGTAGAAACGTCCTTTTAGGGGAGATGGGAGCATACCTGCATACTTGTTTCAAGAAGGAAAAAGTTTCTAACTGGTATACATCTAAGATAATTGGAAGTTTCTGCTCGCCTGCTGTTTGTCAAGGTGTGTTTACCAAACCCTGTTTTATCACTGATATCTGGTACTCTGCTAGCTGGTTGTTGTCTTTTAGGGTCGCACACTTTGAGTAAGGGAGATGAGAGTATGTCTGAATGAGGATCAAGGCTTGGTACCTTCCTGTAGCACAAGTCTGTGCACCTTTCAAGTGCTTGAAAACTGCACCTGAATAGCAGCTGAGCTGAGTGAATTAACTTTGTTTCAAAATTTAGAGTTATGTCTTCATACTTCCTTGAATTTTTTTAACAAAATACTTGTAGAAACGTCCTTTTAGGGGAGATGGGAGCATACCTGCATACTTGTTTCAAGAAGGAAAAAGTTTCTAACTGGTATACATCTAAGATAACTGAATTGAGAAGCATCAGTCAATGAAAAAAAAAAATGGCTGTCAGGTGAAGAATAAGGACATTTCCTGCTGTTTAAGTATACTTTTAAAGCAGATTGAGTAGCCTTAGGGAAGGCATTTAGACTAGAACAGATGGCAGACAGCAGCATTAGCAAACTTAACCCATGGGAATTGTTTGCTATCTAGGAAGTCTCTAAAAGGAATTTTTCTGAAGGAATTTTAACCGAAGGATGTTGGTGGGCAAACTCGGAAGCTGTTCTCACAAATATGTTCCTTTGTGAATTTAATGAAACACAGAATTTCCTCAAACTTCATCAGTCTTGAAATTTCTGGCTTATCAGAGCAATTTGTTACACCGATACTGTTCTTTTGATTTATTTTTTCCCCTGCTTGTTTGGGAGCATGTTTAACTTGTGATAAATTAGAGGGTTCAGGATCTGTCACTTGTGGGCTTTGCTATCAATAGCACTCATTGTAAACTGACTGGGTTGCTTCATGCCTCTCTTTTCTGTCCTATGGAAAAGGGATAGTTAATCCCAGAACACTACTATCAAAGTACTGATTTTTTTTAAGTCACTGTTTTATTGTGTGTAAT